TACCAGCCAGGCGAGACCAGGGCAACAGGCAGGGCAGTGGGTGGGCAAGGCAAAGAGAGCAGCTTCTCATTTTCCTGACTGCAGCAATGATGGCCTTGCTTTAAGAAATTTGGTGATGGCCTCCACCTAGGTACACCTAGGTAACCTATCTTGGGTTAAAAAAGTCTTGCCAGAGAATCAGGAGAATCTGGAGTGGAGCCTGGGGCATCTGTACTACCAAAAGGGCCCCTAAGGGGTGCCTTGAAGCTACCTTGACAGCACACTAGCATTGAGTAGCCCTTGCCCCTCCTTGCCTCAGCAACCTCTTCAGCATAGTCAGTGCCTGCCATCCCCCAGACCACTCCAAGGAGTCCAAGCAGACCACACGTGCCTGGCACATTCGGAGTCCTCTAGTCTCCAGCTCATCTCTGAGGACAGGTTTGGAGTGAAAAGAACTGGCTGCCCTTGTGAGCCAGGGGAAGGCTGTTATTGGGAGGCACTGGGGAGGTAGGTCAGGTCTCTGGTGACTTGCACCTGACCACTGGACAGCCTTGAGGGAGGCAGGACAGAGAGGTGGCAGAGTCGAGTCCTTCAGCTCCGTCAGAGGTGATGGGGAGGAATCACCCCCAGGCTAGAGCTGATTTTAATTGTCTTCTGGACATTAGACCTTGGAGGAAACACTGGACAAGAGCGCTGGGGTCACAGCAGTCAGCACAGAGGTAGGGGGCATTAAAGTTAGTGACTTAATGCTCACATCAAGGAACGGGTCTCCAGCCTTTGCGATGGTTGTGGGTCCCCCACAACCCGCCCCCAGCACATATCTCCCCAGCCCCAGGCTAATTGGCTGTGACAGCTCAAGCCCTGAGCAGCTGAGCAGTGTTGCTGTGAATTAGGCAGGCGCTGAGCCCGCCAGTCGCAAATTACTCTGCCTCTGCTGTGCTACCGGGCTGCTGAGCGGCTGTGAGCTCCACGGACTGTGTGTGCCTGTACCTGGGCAGGGCCGTAGTGCACTGGGCAGAGAGTGCAGACACTAGTCTCCTGTCTTTCTCCTCATGTCGACCAAGGATCTCACCTTCCCACAGCCCTTTGAACCCTGATGCCTCACATTTTTTGGGGGGTCCGCTGATCTGACTTGCCTCCTCTCCCCTGCACTCCTGCCTTAGGTTGGTTCTCACTGGCTAGTGATGCCTCTCTGGCTTCTGACATCCCTCAGTGGATATCCTACAGGATACTTGGGGTTCCTAGAGTAGCCACTGGCCCCCCATTACAGGACGCCCTGAGGTTTGGGGTATACTCCCTTCTGTTCACAGCAACTCCAGGAAGCCAGTGCTTCTTTCCCACGCTCACTGATACAGTTCTTCCTCTGGCTTCTGGACCTGCAGCATTGCTGTGTTCAGACAGCCACTGGGTTGTCATACTATGAAAGTGGGGCTCATCCACATCTGGCCCTCTGAGATGGCTCACAATCTATATATCCGTCAGTTTTTGCTGCTCCCCAGTTCCCTCTGCATGAGAAGTTCTTCCTGAGCTACTCCATCCTGGTTCTCACTCTCTGCATCCCCCGCTTGGCCCCATCACTCCATCCTGCACATCTGCCTCTCAAGAAGGAGACCTCTGGGTTGGCTGTCATATCCAGAATGATTCACCTCCTAAGAGCCCACATCACACAGAAGATGCTCAAGCAATGCTTAAACAAATGAGTCCCCATTCCAGGACCTCTCACTTTTTCCAGGACATGCCCTGCAGGAGGCAGGGGCAGAAGGATTGTAGTGATGGATCATGCTGTGCCCTACTATCCTACCTTGGCTTGGGCTGGGTTTGAATCTGGAAGAGAAGGTGGCAGAGGCCCAGTCCCTGCACCCAACAGGGCTTCCCTGGCTTCTAGCCTGACTCCATGGCCTCTGAGCAGGCAGCTGGGTTCTGAGGACAGGACCGGAGGGGGATGAACAAGAGAGCTGTAGGTCCTGTAGCATTGGTGTCCCTTTAGTGTGGTTTCCATGGCAGGCTCAAAGTTCCCATGCTTACTCTTCCCGGAGCAGCTAGAGGATGAAGACATCCCTAGCTTGAGGCCTGGACCAGCTTCTTCTTCATGCTTGCCCTGTCCAAGCAGCAACTACATGCACAGGGCCTGGTACCAGGGGACAATCACTCATGATTGATTCCTGCTCTTCCCCCTTGGCTTCTGTGTGAGGCTCATAGGCCTTCATCTGCCGGTGTGTACTCAAGGATCTATGCCCTTGCTTGGAGTCAGCCTTGTGAACGTGCTGGGATGGGAGGTGTCTGTATGTACATATTCTGCACCCATGTGTGTGGCTATCTGCATGCACATATCCATGTGTGCTGGGGCAATGTCCACGTGTGTACACAGCATCATGGTGTGCCCTCCTTGTGGGGTCCTGGGTTTTGTCTTGCCTCAGCCTTAGAACTATCTATAAATAAGAGATGGGGAGGGGGCTTCAGGGCTTCAGTGTGCACAGGGGGGAGTGGAGAAGGGCAAAGCAGCACTTAGCTGTAGCAAAGATGGGGGAGGTCCACAAGTGGCAGCTCTGGAGCTTGCAGATGGGCCACCCAAAATTTTCAGCAGGGCCAGGATCCACGGCCGGGATAGAGCTACCTGAAGCACAGTAAGAGTGCTGGATCCAGGTTTGCAGACTTTTCTGTGAAGTTAGTCTTCAAGAGTCCATGCTGAGTTGTGAGACCTTTGCAGACCACAGGAAAAGGCTAGGGAGCCCCACACCTCCCTCTAGGTCACAGCTATGCTCTCTTGCTAGACCTACTGTCAGTCATCTTAGTCCTCGCTGGTCCAGAGGAGGCAGGTGGAAGGATGAGTGTGTGTGGGGGGGTGTTGCTTAGGGGCAGGGTGTATGTGTAGGCTGAGCAAACCTTGTCCTCAGGCAGCCTTGTCAGTGAGGTATCTCCCCACCCCTACCCACTCCTTGTCCTCAGACCAGAATGGCTTGTGGAAGAGGACTGGGGGCCTGATCTGCTCTGAGGCTTAAGAGAACCAGGCTCAGGACCTCCTCTTAGAGCATCTACAGAACAGGCAAGACTCCAGATGAACAGTGAACAAAGTTGAATGAAGGCTAATCCCGTTGCTTGTACTATGGTCACCTTTGCCTCCGTCTCATAACATTGCCCTCAAGTGGTCCAGATAGGTCCTGTCTGATACCTGGTACTGCTATTGCCCTGACACAACCCAGAATGAACAAGTATGCATATCTGCACGCACACACACAGCACCTGCAGGACTCTCAAGCCCATCTTAAATAGAGCTATAAGACTCCTTGATGTCCCTGACAGCCCACCCCAACCTCCAAGTTAGGAAACAGGATACCTGAAGCCCTTCCATCCTCAGCAAGCTCCTCAAGAACACACTGAGACTTCCGTAGACAATGGAAGACCTAAACTGGGTAGCACGACCTTTAATCCCTGCATTTGGGAGGCAGAAGCAGGTGGATCTGTAATCTGGGACTGCTTGGTCTACATAGTGAGTTCCAGGACAGCCAAGGCTACACAGAGAAACCCTGTCTCAGAAAACAGAAAAGAAAAAGGTGATGGTGGTGGGCTTTGTGTACGAGTATTCATACCCTTGTGCACAGGACAGGGCTTCCTTCCCTGCACAGAACAAGGGAAAGCCAAAGGAAACTTCCCACAGATGGTTTCAGAGCTCCCCAAAAGACTTCTAGAAAAGCCCATCTTTGAACTCCATATTCATTTGCATGCCTCACCAGTCCTAGAAGTAAAGCAGGGTAAAGAGAGAGGGGAGGAGAAGGTAGTGAACTCAGATCTAGTCCCTCACAAATGGGGTAGGATCACGGGGCAGCCGTAAGCCCACAACAGCATCCTGTGGTCCCCGAGTACCACACCCAGCAGTGTTAGAGCAGAGTCCCAGATGCTCAGAGGGGACAGAGGAAGTCTTTGAGTACTGGATGCTAAAAGACCAAGGGGCCAGCGTGCTGAGCAGGTAGGGCAGACACAGCTATTGCCATCTCTCCCCAAAAGAAATCCAGTGGCCACTCAGGCTGGACCTGTCTCTGTCAGTGAAGGGTTCTATAGTGGTTCTGCTCTGCTTAATCGAGGGGCAACACAGAGATGTTCTGAGTCTTCTGTTCTTAACCAGGATCTGTCATTGGGCCCCAGCAGCCAAATTTTCCTCAACATAGGTCCCTTCTCAGGGAGACTTTTATTTTATTTTGTGAACTTCCCCAGCAAGGCTGGCTGGTACCTACAGGTCTCTCCTTGCTCCTTGCACCGAATTAGTTCTTATAGTTCACATCCCCCCCCCCCCCCCAGTTTCTTCCCTTTCCAACATTTTCTCCCAAAAAAGACTGGAGCAGTTGCTCCCAGCCTGAGGTCCTACAGGACTGTCTCCTGAGTTTTATTCTAAGGCATTAGAGCAGGGGGATAAAGGTGGCCCGCCTTTCTCTGACCTGGGATCAAGACTCAAACTCAGGCGATTCTCTCAAGACTGTGGCTGCTTGTGCAACTGAGGTAGAGCTTCCAACTTCTGACAGAGAGCTGAGGCCTAGGCAGGAGCCTGGCTGGCTCCAAACTTGCCAAATTCAGAACTTTACACTCTACTCTGTTAGAAGGAGGGAACTGTCATTTAAAACTTTGTAGCTGCCAGTAGAGCAGGGCGAGATTTTTCAGAGATCTCTTACTACCCACGTTGGCCTTGCATCCTTTGAAGAACAGAAGTTGGGCCACCCCTTGGGAAGGGACAGCTAGCAAGAATGGCTGTCACCAGGACACAACTGCTATGCACTTGGAGTCACCACCAAGGCCACCTGGAGCCTCTGCCCTGCCCTGCCTCGATGGGGACTCCTAGAAGGCCAGCCTCAGAATGTTGTCTTGGTTACTGACATACATTTGCCCCTTGGTCAATTCCTCCCTGCTCTTGCCGATCTAGACATGCCAGCTCCCCTAAAACCCAATCCAGAGACTTCCATATTTTTCTATTCCAAGAGAAACCTGTACAAAAATGAAAGTCACAGACACAACAGCCAGGTTCCAGTGACTTTTGGATCTAAACAGATTTATTTTTTTTTAATTTTTTTCCTTTCCTCTGTTTCGTAACAAATGAAAAAAAGAGAACACAACAAAAACCAACAACACAATTTTTTTTCCCAACGATTTGTCTAGCATCTGTTCAGAAGGCTCAGCAGGAGCCACCTGGGAGCAGCAGAAGACGGAATAAGCCTCAGAGCACCGGGGCCAAGCCTCAGAAAACCAGATCTCAGCCGGTGAAGACGCGCCCAGCTTAGAACACCCTCCACCGGGCCTCTCTTTCGGCTAGTCCAAAAAAGCGACCAAGCTTTAAAAAAAGATTCCACAAACGAAACACAATTTAAATTAAATAAAAACACCTTTCAACCCGCCCATGCCAGGAGGTTCAGGCCTAAGCCTCCTCTTTAAAATTTTTTCTTCTAGAACTGTGCATTACTTTTTAAATTCTTTCACTTCTCTGGAAGGTTAAAATAAGATATATTTCCCCAGGAGTCATAAATACGATCTGGTGCATAGAGAAATAGCAGCGCGGGAGTCCGGGCCAGCCCCAACCCGGCTGAGCACGGCTACCCCCCACCCCCCTCCCCCAGTCGAGTATAGCAGGACAGTGGGACCAACACGCAGGTAAGTTCCTCGGCTTCCTCTACAGGGAGCCGCGAACAGGGTGGGGACAAGCGGGCTGGAAGGCAGGCAGGGCCGGACCCCTCAGAGCGAATGAGCGAGGAGGGCACATGCGGGCACTCGCCGACCTCCGAGGGCGCACAGGGACCAAGGGATTTGTCTGGGTTTTCTAATTACCAAGCAAAATAAATATTAATGTTGCGAAAATATGACCGCTTTAAAAAGGAGGAGATGGAGGAGGAGTAAAAACAGGGCAAGGAAACGGAGGCAGAAAGAAAGACGACGGAGGAACGCGGGGCCGGCGGAGGCTACCGGGAGCTGGTGTCAGCGCGGCCCCGCTGCGGCTGGGCGGAGGTTGGGACGCAGAAGTGCGCTCCACGTCTGTACAAGGTGACACTGCGGAGGAAGTCAGACCTGGCTCGGGCTTCCCTAAGTATTCACCGTTCCCGGGGCGCCGAGGGGACGCCGGCAAAGTCTAGACGGCGACCCCGAAGACGCTCGGACTGGGACCCGGCGGGAGAGGCGCACCGCAGTAGGTACCTGGAGCTGGGGCTTCGCGGCGGGGCGCGCAGGGCGGACGGGAGGACCCCGACAGCTGCGGCCGCACCGCCGGAGCGCGCGTCCCGGGTCTCAGAGTCCGAACCGAGACCGGGGCGGCCTGCGCAAACTAGTCCCCGGCGGTGGCGAGGCCCAGGGAGGGTCCGGAGCTCACAGAAAGAAGTCGGGTGCGCCTTTGGCCGCCCCGGGGCCAGCCTGCCCTGGCGAGGGCTCCCGAGGGAAGCCGGCCCCGCCCGCGCCCCCGGGGCCGCCCCGGCCCGCCAACTTCTCGTATTTCTCCTTGTACAGGTCCCGCTCCTTGGCCAGACGCCCCACCTCCAGCTTCAGCTGCTCCACCTGGCTCTGGAGCTGGCACTTCTCGCTCTCCAGAATGTGCCGCTGCTGCACCCGCTTGAAGCGGCACGACTGCGCGTAGCCGCGGTTCTTGAGCGTGCGCCGCTTCTGTTTCAGTCGGATGACCTCCTCCTTGCTGAAGCCGCGGAGCTGCCGGTTCAGCTCCCGCACGGACATGGACACCAGCTGGTCGTCGGAGAAGCGCTCCTCCAAGCGCACGTGGTGGCCCGCGCCGCCTCCGCCGTGACCCGCGCCTCCGCCGTGGTGGCCAGAGCCGCCGTGGTGGTGGTGGTGGTGGTGATGGTGGTGGTGGGCAGAGTGGTGGTGGTGGGCAGTGTGGTGTGCGCCGTGGTGGTGGCCGGCACCCATGTCGTCCCCGCCGCTGCCACCGCCGCCGCCCGCGAAGCTCTGGCCCCGGAAGGCCTCATAGGCCGCAGCAGTGGCCGGGTGATGCGCGCCGTGGTGCGCGCCGTGGTGGCCGCTGCCGATGAGCGCCTCCACCGCGTCCTCCGGCGTCAGGTTGAGCGCTTCGGGGTTCAGGTGGTGCTGGTACCCGCTCATCCAGTACAGATCCTCCAGCACCGCTTTTCCTGAGGCGCCCCCGACAGTGCCGGGGCCTCCACTCGGCGGCCCCGGGGCGCCCCCGGTCTGAGGCGCGCTGCCCCCGCCGCCTGCGCCGCCGCCGGTGCCCGGGCTGGGTGCGCAGAAGCTGGGCGAAGAGGGCACCGAGGAGCAGGGCGTGCTGAGGGGCGTCGAGGACAGCGAGCCGGGCGGCAGGCGGTGGCAGAAGCGCTCGGCCTCGGGCGGCTCCTTCTTCACCTCGAACTTCATCAGGTCGAAGTCGTTGACGTACTCGATGGCCAGTGGGCTGCTGGGCAGCTCTGCGCCCATCGCCAGCTCCGCGGCCATCGCCCGGGGCCCCAGCCCCGCCGCCGTGCCCGACCGCGCCCCGACGGGCGGCGGGGGAGCGTGGGGGGAGCCGCGGGCCTCTCTCCCCCTAGCTCCCCCCGGTCCGCGGTGGGAGCAGGCTCTGGTCGCGCCGCCGAAGGGCGCAGCAAAAGTTTCGTGCTGTCAACTCTGGGCTGCGCTCAGGGGACGCCGCCGGCCAGGCCTCTCCGGCGGCCCCCCGGCCCGCTGCGGGCGGGCGCAGGGCCCCGATCCTGCACTCCTCCTCCTGCTCCTCCGCTGTCCTGGCCTGGAGGGTGCAGAGGCCGCGCCCCGGGCTCTGCCGCGCTCCGGGCTCTCCCGCCCGGCCCCGCCCCGCGCCCCACCCGCGCTGCCGGCCGGCCCCGCCTCCCTCGGCCCAGCGCAGAGCCGCACAAGCCTTTATAGAGACGCGCTTCTGGGCCCGCCTCCCCAGGTGGGGGCCGACGCCCCCGGGCCAATCGGAGCCCCAGACCTGCCGCCTTCATTTGCCTATCCCCATGGCAACCCGGAGCCCAGCTGTCAATCTCCTGCGGGAAACAGCTGTGGGAAGGGGTGGGGAAGGGCCGCCGGCAAGAGGAGTGGGCAGGGCCCCCTGGTGGCCGCCACATGGGACTGCACAGCAGAGGGCGTGAGACCAAGTGGCCTATCCGGAGGTTCCAGGATCGCAAAGACAAGAGAGTGTAGGAGAGCTGAGGACTCCCTGGTCCAGGGGACTCCCTCGGTGTCTCGGATCCATTAGGTGGCCTAGCTAGCTGTATCCCGCACCAGGCCCAAGTAGCCTGGAGTCCCCAGAACGGGGACCTCTAGTTATCCTGACACTGGTGACTCCGAGCTGCCCGGGAGCGCCGGCTATTTTTATCCTGTGGTTGGGACTGGTTCAGGAATTCAGTCAACAAAGTTGCTGGCACCTAGGGCGGCGGGATGCACGGTGGAACCGCAGGCCTCTGAGCGGTGTGGTAGGTGGAGTGGGACAGACGCCCGTGGCCACTACGGAGCTAGAGGAGCAGGTCTTGGGGACTACCTGCCTCGAGGGCCCATTGAATGCATGGATCTGATGGGTCTGGACGCCTGCGGAAAGGCCCACAAGGAAGCTCAAACCCAGCTGCCCAACCGGGGCTGTTTGGAGGCGCCTTCCTGGGTGGGCACGAGTTGGAGTGACAAGTGGAAAGCAGATTGCCACCCTCACACTTGCTGAATGTCTCTACACAGCTCCCGGGAGGCCAACTCAGAGCAAAAGAAAGCCACAAGGGGAACACGGAGGGTGGGTGACAAGATGTGAGTTCTATGACTCCACCCCCATCCCCCAGAATTCCAGATCCCAACCGAAGATAGAAAGGGAGTGCACTCAGGAACAACAGCTGGGCATGACCCAGAGTGAGGTTTTCTCCTCTCAGTTATCTATATTATACTATTATGACTATTAAAAATAATAGCTGGGCAATGGTGGTGGGAACCTTTAGCCTCAGCTCTCCCGAGGTAGAGGCAAGAAGATTCCTGGGAGTTCAAGGCCAGCCTGCTTCTACAGAACAAGTTCCAGGACAGCCAAGGCTACACAGAGAAACCTTGTTTGGAAAAACCAAAAATCAATCAATCCTTAAATATAAACCATTTGTACAAAGGGGGGAAAAAGACTGAAATGATACTCACAGGATACCTATCCCAGGATGTCATGGTGCCAGCTGCTTTGCCTGTTCCCTCCATAGGTGCCTGCTATTTTATAGAGGGTCCCTGGCAGCTAGGAGTAAATAGCTCCCAACTCCTTCCCTCAGTGTCTGGACACTCATCACCTTCATATTCATCTGTGCAGGGCTTGGTCTTCAGAAACAACAACAACAACAACAGAAACAAACCATGAGAAAACCCCTACAAAATCTCCCCTCAGCCTGTTTCCAAAAAAGGCTTCAGGGAACCATTAGTGGAATGTATATCTTTGGGACTCCACAGTGCTGAGGTGGTAGCCATAGCTGTCAGTGTTATCATGTCCATTCTACAGATGAGAAAACAAGGCTGTAAAAAGCAATTGGTTTTGTCCAAGATGACCTGTATCAGGTAAACTCGTGGCCAAAGGGAAGCCTTTGAATTAAGAGTATGAGGTCTCACCAAGTGAGCCAGTATTTCAGCTGTCTCCTGCAACCTGGCAAAGGCATGGGACCAGGGCACACAGCCTGAGTCTCAGAAGCTCAGGCCTTAAGGATGAGCTACATGTCTGGGAACTACATCTCATGTGGCCTTGGAGATACTTAAAGGGTGCACAGGAGAGATGATGAGATCGGGCAGCCTGTCTTCTCTTGGCCCGCTCCTGGTATGGGTGTGGTAGCACACACACCTTCAATCCCAGTACTTAGGAAGCAGAGTTGCAGATCTCTGAGTTCAAGGCCAGCCTAGTCTACAGAGAGTTCCAGGACAGCCAGGGCTACACAGAGAAATCCATCTGGAAGGGGGAAAATAAAAAAAGGAAAGAAAGAAAAGAAAGAGGATATGTTGGTTCCCTTCCAGCGTGTCATCACAAGGTTAGCACCTCAAAAAGAACACGTTCCCTCAACTCTTTCAAGGTGTCAGGTCAGGAACATAGGCAGGGACCAACAGGGGCTTCTGTTGGCCTTTCCCAGGCTGCAGTAAGCGGTGGTTCAGCTAGGACAGGGTATTTTTTAACTCCAGGACAGTTGCTGACTTGCTGTTGGCTGGTAGCTGCAGGGTTGGCTGAATGGAGGCTGGGGAGAGCTGAAGAGGTAGGGGAGCCTCAGAAGTGACTGAGGGAAGGGTGAGCCCTGAAAGCAGGGGTGGGAGCCTGGACTGGGAGGGACTGCTTGGCAGAATGGTAGGGCAGCTAGGTCAAGGTTAGACTTGCAGGTTGGGGTGGGGGATGTTGAGGAGCCTGACTACATGTGGCTCAGGGATTCCTGAAGGGCTCTGGGCAGAGGGGAACTAGTCTGTGAGAAGTGATAAAGACATTGGGGGTGCCCATCATGCCACCTCCAACCTCCCAAGACTACCCAATGCTTCGGCTTGTTATTGGCTTGCTTTGAACTCAGTGCACCAGATACTCAGCTCAGCAGCTCCAACAACTACTGGATGGCCCCAGCTGAGTATGGTCATCGCACAGGGCACGAGTCACAGGCAAAGCTGATCTAACTTCCATGGCAGGAGAACATCACTCAACAGAAAGCACTGTGCTGTGTGTAAGTGTGACCTGTCATGTTGTATTTAATTCATGGGAACACGGCCACTGGGTGAGGTAGTTTCAGATTACACAGAGCCAAAACTACACAGTGCCCCTTGTTAGAAAGGGTCTTACTGTGTAGCAAAATAGAGCTTTAAACTTTCTTCTACCTGCTGAATACCGGGGTTACAGTTTTGTACCACCGTGCCAGGCCAGAAAGTTTTAAACTTCTGTCTCAGGTTAGAGATATGGCTTAGTTGCTTGTCAGTCATACACAAAGTTCCCCGGATTTGATCTCCAGGACCTCAAAGCTGGGCATGCTGGCACAGGCCTAAAATTCTAGCTCTCGGGATGTGGAGATGAGAGGATCAGAAGTTCAAGGTCAGCCCTATCTACATACTGAGTTCAAGAGTAGACTAGGATAAATGAGGCCTTGTCTCAATACAACAAAAATATTCTCTTTATTTTCCAGGAGGAGGCTGCACAGTTCTCTGGCAGCTAAGATGAAGAGGCTTGCTTGGGATCATTGATATTTAAGAAGACAGACTGGACTGTGGAGATGGCTCAGTCAGTTAAGTGCTTGTCTTGTAACCATGAAGACCTGAGTTTGGATCACTGGAACCCATGTATAAAGTCCTGTGTGGTGCTGTACTTGCGATCCCAGTGATGGCCAGATGGAGAGTGGAGAGAGGAAGATTCCCTGGAAACTTGCGGGCCAACTGGCCTGAACTACACGGTAGAGTTATAGGCCAAGGACCAATTCTGTCTCAAGCAAAAGGTGGAAGGCAGCATCCCAGGCTTCCGATGAGAGTCCTTGCCTTGGCCATTGCTGTCCCACCCTTATCCCCATTCCTGGCTATAATCCAGGCACCATTAGTGGGTACACGCTCCATAAGGAATGGAAAGGGAGACCAGTTGGGGAGCAGTAGGCCCAAACAAGAGAGCCACTGCCAGCCCCAAGGTAGCAGCCAGTGACATGTCCTACACCCTACTCCCACCCCCATATTCCCATCTCTGGTACCCATGGCTTCTTCTAGACACATAGAAGCAGAACTCTACAAAATACACCTCTGGGCACAATCTCTAGCCTAGGGCCCTCCACTTAAGAGAAAGCAGTATCTGGGCCCTCTGATCAGTGTAGCTGGAAGGCCCCTCAGCTGAGGAGCTTTGGCACACATGAATTCCTGCTGCATGGCTTTGTCTAGCAGGACCTGCCACTGGCGGCTGCTCATATACACCAGTGTGGCACTTGGTTCCTTGGGACTTGGAGCATGTAAGGATTAGCTGCATGCTGACCTTGTGAGGTGGAGGCCCTCTAGTCAATGCCCGGTCTGTGGGCTGTGTGAAACTTGTCAGGTGCTTGCCAAGTGCTGGGCACGAAGGTGAATTACAGCCAGAAAAGCAGCACCTACCATGGCTGTCTCAGGCTAGCTATGCCTCAGTTCTAGGTGAGGACTGGTACCCATTGGGCTATTCAGGACTCCTACCTACTGTGATTTTCCCTGGGAAAGTGAGCACACAAAGGGAGGTTGTCCTTGCTTAGAACCTACCTATGAAGCCAGAGTGCACAAGGATCCTAGCCCAAGAAGCCATGTTCCTTTGCCAGCCTGTGGCGCATCAGCCATAGGGTGAGAGGTGGGAGCAGGGAACAGGGGAGGGCCAGAGTCTGGTATCCTGCAGCTCTGCTTATTTCTATTCCCCCTCTCCAGGAAGAGGACACTAGAAACTGATATTCTCATAGGTGGGTCCCCCAGAGGCATGGGGAAGAGGATGCAGGGAAGGCCCTGTAGGCCCAATGGCACTGGATGGCTGCGGTATAGATGGTACTTCATTATGGTGAACTTAGCACCTCGCATTCTACCTCTACACACCACCTCCAGGACACAGGTCCAATAGCATGTGCCTCTTCCACCCCTCCCCCGTCTCCTCTGCTGGTGCTCCTGTGAGGACCCTGGCTATCCAATGAGGAAGGGCAATCTGAGGGACAGTTATATACTAATCTGTCCACTCAAGGACGAGATTGGTGGCACAGGGTAACCCCCTAGTAAAATATCTAGGAGCCTAGTACATGCAAGGCAAGGAACTTAGCTAGCTTGGAGCTGCCAATAGAAAACCTACCCTGTCCATCAAGCTCCAGGGGTCCAGTATCAGGAGACTCTGATCCTTTCACTGATAGGTCTCATGCTTTTCTTCTAGACTGGTCTAGG